CGGTGTAATAGAGCTTATTGCATTAGATAGTTTTAATTAGAATAGACAATACAATCCTACAATCAAAATTTACTCTAAATCAGGTAAGAAATTAGAGAAATCTCCCACACTGCGGCGTTACTTTTGAAAATGACAAAACATCCAGATTTCTTGAATTTTATCTACAACCAGTATGAAAGTTGGCATTTACTTTTCAAATCAAACAAAAAATCTGCTGAACTTATACAACATTTAGGCTTTTAGTAGAAGACATTAATACCATAATTATATTTTTGTAAAGATAGGGAAGGACATGGAAGCAGAAAGCTTGATTTGCTAGAAAATAAGGACTTTTGGAAGATGTCTATGAGATCACAGCATATAAACTAGCTCACTCACACACTTCCTTATTCACAGGCTTTTTCTGCCAAACTTAATAGCAATAGCCTTTTCCTAACTTCAAAATGGATGAGTAAGTTTAAATGATTACCATCTGAATCAGAATTTTATCTTATTAAAATTTTTTAATTTGGAGGAAGTGTGAAGAAATAAGCAATGGAATGGACAGAGCAACATGCAGGCATCCTATCAAAAAAAACCCACTGTTAACAGATGCAAAGCATCTAGTGCTTGTATTTTGCACTGGAGAAGGAAAATCTTGATGAATTTAATAGAGCCAGCAATGAGGTATTTTCTACATTAACAGTGTCCTTTTAAAGTAGTTTCAATTTCTGAGACAGGGACTGTACAGCATAAGACTTTGCTTGTCAAGAGGTTCTTCTGGTTTTCAAACATTAAAACATTAAAAGCAATAACAGGTAAAGATCTGACAATTCACCAGGAAGCAGTACTCTTCTGCTATATAGTATGCAACAAGCAATTATAAATAACACTTTAATGCTTTTTTTTTTCTTTACAACCTACTGAAATATGAAACTTGGAGATTCTTTATGAGATGCTGAAGGTAAAACAAAATAAATGAGAAAACACATAGAAATGGCAAGAGAAGAATCAATACTGACATTAACGTAAGATCTTTCAAGTCAAATCAAGAAAGAATGGCAACAAGCATCTATATAGAAATTTATCTTCGGTTCTTCTTCAAAAAGAAAAAAATGTTTCCTGGTAATACCTCCACCATTAAATGTAAAGGTGTTTTTTGCCATTTACTACATTAATAGAAAGTAATACTGAACAAACAGCATGAAGACTGCTTGGTACAGTCATTTCTAATTTCTGATATAGAAAGTGTTCAACTCATTCTTCACTAGATGTTTAAATGGTTTTCTATCAGGAGAAAGGAACAGTAAGTTTTCCTGGATTCAGCAATAACAACAGCTCCGGAGTCTGATCAGCAATGACCACAGCATCAGTTAAAAGAAAAGATTAATTAATTTAGCATTCATAACAACTTGTATTGTGAAAAGTTAAATACAGAAAAAATCATTAATGGCCTTATTCATAGAGAATGAAACCCAGCATCAAACAATCCCAATTTACCAACGACACTCTGCCAGCAAATGGTGATTCACTAACAGAGCAAGTGAATAAACAATCACTTTCCTTACAAAATAATAATACTCAAAAATATAACTTGGCAATATCTCCCTGTCATTAATGGGGACATTAATTAGCATGGTTATATAAAAGAGATATTAATTAAATATGTCAAGGTCTCCGGATTGTTTGAATTCCTCTTTGGTTAAATAATCCAAATATTTAAATTAGTTTCTTCATGTAGTTCAGTGTTTCAACCAGAATCTCCACTGAACACTACCACTGATAGGCACATAAAATTATTATTTGCAGACTACTTATGTAGCTTTCTTTTTAAAACATCAAATAAAATAAAGATGTATCCTTTATGCAAAAATATCTTTAAGAAGTCACAGCCTCTGTTAATTAGTCAGGCACTTATCCTGTTCTCTCACCGACCACCAGATCTCACATAGAACCCAACTCATCAGGTTTCTGATTTCATTTCTATCTGTAAATCTAGAATATTAATACAAACTACATTTCAGCTCACACGTTTTATTTCTCCTAGAGTTTGCAGAAAATAAGAAGAGAAAGTGTTTTGGAAGTTGCACTCATTAGAAAGCTCATGGAACGTCCAAAATTTCAATTCAGGAAAGATGTGTATTTAAAGTACAGAAAATAAACCCTGTTATATGCATTTGTCTGTCTTATTTTGCCATTTCTCCACAGGTCTCTGGAAGCTACTGTCCTATTATACTTCTTGCTGTATTCACTGAGTGTTCCGTATTTAGTGCAATTCTCACCCTAGTTTTCTTTCACAGGACAAATTTTTGTTTTTCATTGTTTGTTTTAGGGTTCTAATACTTAACCTTCAGTAGGCATTTGTAACAAGCACTTATTGTCCCTAGAAAAACATTTTCCTTTATTTTACTGAGAATGAATGCATGCAATTTTAGCACAACAGGGAGCACTGAACAAAATACAACTGTGTCCTTAGTGGTCAAATGCAAATGGTGAGCAGGTTTCAGTCTCCTCCTCCTCAAAACAGTGCTGTTAGGATATTTAGAAGCAGTTCATAAACTAAGTTGGCCTCTTTTGCTGGCAAGCCTAAAAGCGGAAGTACGAGTTTTACCACTGAGTCCAACAGTATACTCACTGAGGTATGTTCCAGTGGTCCACAAACTATGGAACGGTTGTATCTAGCCAAACAACACTGGTCATTTTCCACTCTCATTTAGAAATTTACTGTTATTTTTCATTCTAAATGCCTGTTTCATCTCCACTTCTGTTCTAACAAACCTCTGTTCAGAGCATTACTCTTACGATGAATTATTAAATACAAATTACAATTATTCCCGTCTCTTACTGGACTTTTTAAACGCTTCTTGGTAGTCTGCTTCTGTTAACACGAACCGCATGTGAATGGACTCTCAATTTCTGCAAGAGAAGATGCATTCCAAGATGACAGCTCTTACGCCATTTGTACTATCATAATTCTGAGGTAAATTACACGGCCTTCTTGGCAAGTGCTTGAAGTAATATCCATATTCTTTCTAAGAAGATCAATCTCCTGTAAAAAGTGTTCTAGACACATGGCAAATTGAGAGCACCCATGGGAACAAATGGCAGTCCTGTGCTGGGCTGTTCCATCACTGCTAATATATTTGACATGAATTCAGAATTCTGGCCAACTTTACGGAGTAGTAAGTCCTACAATTTTTTTTTTAATGTCACAAACTGTACGACAGTTGCATTAATTACAAATTATACTATCTCCCCTCCCCCAAAAAGTATAAAGACAACCTTGCATATATTTTCTGTTTTTTTAAATGGCGGTTCAGGGGATACATTCAGAACAGATACATTTTCAACACCATAGCCTTGACCATTAAAGACTTTGAGGTGAGATAGAGGGTTTAATGGAAGAAAAAATGAAGTTTTAGGTATGTTTGACTAGAGATACAAAACTGCAAGCTAATTAACTGGACTACTAAGAGAGGCTGTATCCATAATATTGGGTAGGATGCACAACTGCTATTACAAAAAAGAATCATAAAATGTTAAAACCACACATCCAAACGTACCACGGAAGTAAAGCTGAAGTTGAAAGCAGATTTTCTTTGCTTTCTCTCCAAAATATAGTACATGACTGTAACACTCTTACTGACACTGTATTTATTAGAATAAAAGAATGAAATCTCAATAAGGTGATAGGTGCAGATTAAAAAGAGGGTAGTCCTTGCCACACAGCTCCAGACAGCTTACAGTTTTCATATCACTGTTACAGACTGCATTTTGAAGTCACATAAAATGAGAATAAAATAAAATCTCAAGGACCTAATGTAATATATTTATTCTTTTAAAGAGCAAACACATGCTCTCATGGAGAGCATGGAGAAAGGACTGCAAATACCACTACAAAAGGTTAGCATGGTAGTTAAAACACAGTAGCTAAACCTGTATTTAATATATATACATATATACATATAAAATTGACACATCCAGAGCCTGTAGACCAATATATAAAACATTATAAATTATTTTCTCCAAATAATAATTCTTAGAATTTTTTTTCTTAAAAGGAATGATTTTGCCTCTTGTGTTTCACAATACTTGCAAAAGATAAAGCAGATTCTTCTCATAACAAAATTACCATTCCATCACTGGACAGGAGAAGTAGTTAACATATTACTTACAAGCAATATGGTTGGTATCAAATCATTTTCCTAAACTAAGTCAGACAAAAATTGCCAAGTAAGATCAGTCTTAAACTCCACTTAATTCAAGATGCTACTTTGATCAGTGTTTAGCACCCACTGCCTCAGAGGAAAGTCAAAGAAACATCAAAATAAGCTAATGAGGATTAGCCTGGCAAATGTATGGAACTAAAACATCTAAAATGGTTATTTTATGACAGTCAGACTGAACTCCATTTTAAGAACGTCACTTTAAACTGTTTTCTAATGTAATTTGTACCTTACATTTTTTCTGCTTCATTTTATGCATTAATAAATTCAAAAATAACATGGTCACTGGTTTAAAACCTATATGCGCTTATACCAGTGTAATTATGGAATAATTTTCTGACTGAAGACTAGTTACAGTGGTGTAGCTGAGCACTAAACCTGACTTACATACTTTAACATAGTATTGACTATAAAAGAGTAATACTTTCCCTGCATGCCACATGTTACACCTGATAAATTCACATGTTAAATGTGAATTGATAAACAGTCTTGAAGGATTAGATTAGGAAGAAAAAAATGTGCATTGTGCTAATGAATAGAAAATACGCTACTTTAATGATGAGAAAAACTGAGAAAGCTGAAGGGCATGCAAGTGTAGTGAGATTTTGTATACCTTACTTTTTTTTTTAAATAAAGTTCAGCCTGTTTATTCAGTAAAAAACTGTTCGTGTGCAACTGCAAGGCTAAAACACAAACAAAATAACCTCCACTTGCAGTTACCTAAAATCAACCAGTATCAAGGAGGTTAACTCTGTAACCTCATAAACCATATATAAAAGAAAATACTTTTCTAACCTCTGCTGCCAGTTGCTGAAGAGAAGGTGATGCAATAGGAAGTAAGGTTGAGTTGCCTCTGACTGGATTATGGAGGCTAACGTAAGCCACAACATTTCTTTGAAGAACTCTCTTGAGATCCTACAACACAAGTAGGGCGATGGTTATTACTATGCATGGTTATAATTATGACTTGTTTTGTTATTTCGGTTCCTTTAAAAGGAAAAACTGTACCCCATGTTTTTTTCTTCTGCAGTTTGCTAAGTATTACTTTATAATTCTTCTTAAAATATGCTGTTAAGATCTTCAAAGGGTATCTCAGCATTACTTCTCCCTATAGCAGAAGTTTTAACTCCATTTCACACATCATCTCAACAAAACACAAACAGGCCTAGAAGGAATTAAAAATGACTACACTTGTAAAAGCCCCAGAAAGAAAACATTACATACTGTGAAGCAACATGAAGGTCTTTTAAACTTATGCCTGACAGAAGACAAACTTCAAAAGCAATCATTATCAACAGTTAAATGTATTTGAATTTTTAGAGCTCAAATTCAGATACGCATTGCATAACTTCCCCAGCGGTGTCATTTTATTATGTTTTAAACTAGGGAAATAGCATGTCTGAAATGTTTCAGTTGTTATCGTTTTTAAAAAAGATCACCTTTGCCTTCTCAGTAATGAGTTACTCTTTGCATGAAGTGGCTCTTCATATGGAACAGAAGAGGTGTAACGCGATCACATCTGATGTAAAGATGATTTGAAGTGGAACTAAATAAATCTCGCTTCCAGTCTGGATTTTTCCAATTTGACTTTTTCATCCCCTCTTGTTTTTGAAGTAATCGTGTTGGAAGTATGAAACTTCGAAAAGAGCTAGCTGCTCCTCACAAATGATAAAAAGCAATTAGCTCTTCACTTTATCTACTTTTTTAATTCAATAGCTGTGAACCTCTCTGCTAGCTTTTCTTTTTCAACTGGTCAATTGATATTTAATCATATGTGATCGACAGTACTATGATAAGATCTTTTCTTTCATTGGATTGATTTCTATTCTGTTGAAACTAACAACACAAGGAATTGTCTGTGTCAGACTGAATCTAACTTTTAAGCACAAATATGTGATAAGCGAATCAGAATTAACCACTGAGACACTGAAATGTTTATGTAATTAATATAAACCACAGTAAGGTTCTCTTCTTTCATTCAGTTTTTTCATGATTCAGTTCTCCCCACAGTAATCCTATCAATAAGAAATTTGTAACTGTTGAACCTCCAAGAAGGAGAAAAAGCCCTGTAAGCTCTTCCTGGTCTTAAGTCTTTTACTCTGCTCAGGCTATGTTCTCTTTTACAGTCCTCTGCTGAATCAGCAAGGAGAAATCAGCTCACAGAGATGTTGTATATAACCATCCTGCAACCTTCAGAGCTACAGGAACAACTTACCACCCCATTATCACACATCGTCGCTTCCACAGAAACTGCCCCTATCGATGTTTTCACTGCATTTGTTATGGTAACGTGGGTATACACAGAGCTGTCACAGACCAGTTAATGAATGGTTCTATATATAAGCACTGTTTCATACTGTTTTCACGTTTGTTTCAACAAATGTCATCGCTACTGCAATACTTCTTTCTAAAATTATTTTACCTCTGCCCATTCATATGAACCAACGTTTCCAAATGATGTTCCCCCCCATGAGCAGAAAACAATGGTCCGGTCAGGTCTCCAGCCTCTCTTAGCTTTCAACATCACAGCTTGTATAAATGCAGTAATGATAGCACTGCTACCCGTCCATTCTTGTCCACCATAGCTATTCATACTGTTGTGATGACTACCAATGACGACGTATCTGTCTGAAACGTGGAGAAAAAGGAAAGAAAAGAGAATCTCATTTCTCATGGATACTAACATTAAAAGAATTACAAAAATAAAGGATGAACTGGACTTGTAGTCTGTAATGTCATTAATGCAAATATACGCTGTCAACAAAAGTTTATATGATCATGTGCAAGGCAATCGCATGATATAAATATATAAAATTGTAAATACTACTACTAAATGTACTAATAAATTGACATAGATATCCTCCTAACTTAAACCCTGTGCCCTCCCCTTCATTGTTTATTATTCTCTCTTATCATAAATTTTATTTGTACTGCTTTTATAGCAAGGACTTTTGTCATACAGATAATGTAACAAGTTCCATGCTCATGTTAGAGTGTTACAAAAACACACAAATGATAGCTGGGAAACACTCTCTTCAATATGTAATAAATGTTCAAAAAACAAAACAAAAGGTATGGTAGTATAATGAGAAACATAGAGCAGATACACAAAGTATTAGTACTCCCTCACCTGGAAGACTGTGTTCAGTGCTCACCACCCTACCTCAAAAAAGACATTGCAGAAACAGCAGTTCAAGCAGGTAACCAGAATGGTTAGAAATCAGGACTTAGACTTCCATGTAAGGAGACATTGAAAAGACCTGGACTGCAGGTTTAGAGAGGAGACATGACAGAGGGATAAAAATAATGAATGATACAGAAAAGTTAAGTCAGACCTATCAGCTTTGGTGATATTGGAAGAAAGTGTTCTATAAAATGAAAAGCAAGAGGTTTCAATCTGAAATAAGAAAATAAGTATAGTAAATCAGAAGAATTTTCTACCAAAAGATAAATGTTAGGCAAGTATTTTAGGGAAATTAGAAAAGATTTAGTCCACAAGTAATTAAACAGGATTTCAAAAAGAAAAAAAAAAACATTTCTTTCAGAAACATTACATGAAGTCTTCAATTTTCAAGACATAATATATCATCTAAAATTTACTGACTACTGTAAGGAACGTTCTTTAATTCCATAAGGATGATGTGGTATTAAACAACTGAACCACTGGTCTGACTGACACGCATCAAGAAGTCTACACGAGGTTATGCTGAAGGACTTATTCAACTATTAGACTTGCTGTGTGAGGTCAATTCACAACACAATCCTCTCTGAAGGATTCCTTACTGAGTGTCTTTGATCTCTAACAAAGCCTCTTTGTGATGTCCAGATGTACAGTTTTTAAAAGTGTTTTTTCCGTATTTCAGGATACTGATAGAAAAGTAGTTATAAAGTGACGTCAGAATTACGACAATCTCCTGGTGTCATCTGTATTCCAAAGAGTGCAAAGTGTTTTGGTTTTCTGTTAGCATGCTTACTCTAGCTCAACAGATTCATTCTTCACTGCTGTCAGTATGCTGGAGTGTAGCAGGACATATATGTGGTAAAATGCCCACATACTACAGTGCTTATAAAATTAAACATATAATCCTCAGGTGTATTTTTGCAGAGACTAGGTATATTTTTGCAGAGACTACCACCTATAAACATTTTTTAATTGGATACAAACATACTTTGATTATAAAACTGTTCTTTATCATCGCGGACTTTTACCAGTTTTGTTAAATATAATACACGGCAATGTTTTATATGGGATTAAAAATGCTTTAAAAACAGGGGATCTGCTTTGTAGCTGTAACACAACATTTTCAGCCAACTGCCTGGGGAGGGTGCATGCGTGTGAGTGTGCGTATAGGTACGAAATTTTGTTTCTAACAGCTGATGTTGCTCAGATGACAATTTCATTAGGTCAGACTTTATAAAATTTACACCTCACAAGCCAAATATAAATCTGCACGTACATAATAATTTAATGTAACACAATACAATCCCACTAATATAACCAGCTGTCTATACTGCATCATAATAAATTCAATCATAGGTTGCACTGACAGTGAGAAGTCACAGGATCTTAAACTCAACTGATGTTCGGAATTGGGAACAGGAATGCATAGAAGTTCTAACAGGCTTCCAGGTGGTTACAGGAAGTGCCACTAAAGCCGGGTGATCAGACAGGATCAATATTTGCCCTGCACTATCATCTCTACTTGAGCTATGAACGAAATATATGAAAGGGAGTGGAAAGAGACCTTATGAAACACAGTAGAGGACATGTTGGTGGAGAAGAAAGGTATGAGCAGCAACTTATTGTAGGAGACTCCAGCTGAAGGTACAGGGGTAAAAGATTACCTGATGGCTCTTTTGAAATTCTTCATCTTTGAACACTTCTCCCTCTTGAATACACACAAAACCACCCCAAGCAGATGACTATAGCAAAAGCATAGGATAAAGGATGGTCATTCTTACAGAGGCAGAAGTAGCCCTTTCATAATCATTTGCTGAAGCAAGTAAGAAAACAACAGGATAAGGAAAAAAAGAAGGAAAGGACTAGAGGTAGAGAAAAAATATCCATTAGCTATGCCTGAAAGTGAGATAGATAGTGTTCAGGGTAGTGATGGGCTGGACAATGAGCATTTATCATTAAAAAAAATTCTTTATACTGTCTTCTCTTGTTATAACCCCATTTTTAACCATGTCCAACAGAGCTACAAAACCAACATTACGTTTTTCAGTTTTTTAAAAGGCTATCTCAAACATCATATTTCTTTTGCTCCTGAATCTTTTAACCTCTTGGTTGGATTTCAGATTCTCTGCTTCTTTGTTATTCCTCAGATCAAATGTCAAGTAAGATCACCATTATGTGCGCTTGTTGGGGGAAGGGCCTTTTCACCAAAAAAAAAAGAAAAACAACAAAAAAACCCCCACCTCTGGTGAAACTCCACGGTCATTCGATAAGCTATATTGAAAATATACTTGACTTTCTGCATTCCCAAAAACATAAAGGATAACATTTCAGGTGCATAAAACAAGTAAAAACTCACCAAAATGACAGAGAATGAATGTTATTAAAACTTGGAGTTTTCTAACAGTTGAGAGGGCACGGCTACAGTATCAAGCAAGAAAAGTAAAGAAATAACTGAAAGTTTAATATTGATTTTGAATAAAATGTTGTCCACAGTGCATTACACGCTTAATTTATGTCTACATTAGAAGTCAGCTGTCACAGTCCTTGCTCAGCAAGACATTTATGGGACTAATTATAGGCATCTGAGTAGTCCTATTGACTTCACTTCATTATATATCTTTAAAATTAACCATATATTAATATGCCTTTAAAAAACAGCATCAAGACTGCAATAATAAGATGAAAGACTCAGGTATGGAGAAGATAAAGAATTTATTAAATAGAAGTCAATGCATGGTTTTTATTATTTGCCTTGCTTCTGTTTTGCAATTCAAGAGACAGAGTATGTCTAAACACGGCAGTTTCTGTCTTTCAAAGTCTCTGATAGCTATTTGCAAAACATTAGCAATAGTAAAGACTGGAAACTTCTAATTCTTGCAGTAAATTAAATACTTTGCTGAAATTAAACTCATTGTGCCATTTTTTTCTTTTTAAAAAAAACTACTTGTTCTCGTGAAAGGTGCAGCATTGAGCACACAAAAAAACCTTGGTCATTATTTCACTAACAGGGATAAACTAAAAGCTTCTTCATCATCTTCATTCCATCGTTTAAAATACGAAGTGACTGGCTCACTTCCTAAGAAGGTGCAGAAAATTTGCAATTTCCTTCTGAAGCTAATAGCTGAGTCCTAACTGAGGTAACTGTGAAGATGGTTTTGATGATGAGGCTATCTGTCCATTAGGAATTGGATTGGGCCAAAACTTCGCAACATGCCGATAAAGAGTAATCAGCTACATCGTTCATCTATGTTGCAGGAAACTTTAAACTTTTATGCAAATTCACTTGCAGACAAAGTAAACTCGAGGTGATTTTGATTCCTATCATTTCCTTATTATAATATTGACTACACATAGCATCAAATCAGAGAGAGAGTTTGTGTTTTAAGTCACAATTGCTCTTAAAATCTTATTGTTTAATTCTCAGACATATAAAACAGTAAATATTTCTCAAAATGTATACAACTAGTTTAAGGCATGATTGTAACATAAAATAAAGCTGCAGAACTTAAAATTTGGTTAAGAACTTGATCATAGATGTTTGTGCACTATAACCATGTTCAATACTAGATTCTTAATTAAGCCAGAGATCACGCTACACCTTTAGTTTCAGTAAGACATTTCAGTTAGGCAAGGGTGTTGTGGATTTGAATCATACAGAGTTTTATGCTCATAGTTATGAAATAAAACCCCAAAACTCATCCTATTTTTTCTCAAGTAGGTTCTATAGTAAGGAAAGGCATACTTTCCCAGCAATATAAATCTGTGCATGTTTTTGTTACCTATATATATACACACATATATATATATATCTATCTCGCAAAATTACTATAACATAAAAAAATACTTTTTCTAAAGTCATACAGGCAGCTCACATATTAATTGAAATCATGCAATACAGTGCTTTCTCTTACTAAGGCCACCAGCATAGTTACTTAGTATGAAATACAATTATCATCTATGGTCTAAGTGCAATTCCTGCTTACTGTGTAAAGCATACTCATTTTAACTATAACAACCCCTTGAGCTCATTCTCTGTTTAATTCTGTTGGTCTGTCTTATTATAAATCAAATCACAAAATCTCTGCAACAAAGACTCCTTTTCCTCTATATGAGTATGTTATCTAGTAAAACAGAAACCTGATCCCAGCTATGACTCCCAGCCATCATTAAACAACTAATCAATACAAATTATAAAGGGCTACTTACCAGGAAATATAGTTCCTTTTAAATATCCAATAACATTAGAAATCGTCTTGTATGTTGTGACTGACTGAATATTCAGATTGATTATCTTTTTCTCTGTTAAAAGAGGAAGAAAACTAAGAACATGTTAAACTGCTGTGTATCCAGCCTAGAAATCTACAGGCCTCAGAAACACTTCTCACACATTAAAAAAGAAAAAACAAAAAAAGAAAAAAAAAAGATACTAGAGAAGAATCACAGATTAAAACATGAAATAATATCACATTATTTTCTTAGTCGCATGTTAGCAGTGGGGATTAAACCTGGAATCTCAGAAGCAGCCTCTGCTCTTTGAATTAAAAGATCATACAGTTCATGAAATAAATGCTGACAGAATACAACAGCTTAACAAAAAAAACACCCCCCCCAATAGATTTATATACTCTTATGATTAGGAAATTTGCCTTAATCTTCATACGTTTACCTAGCCTAAATGCTCACCCACGTCAACCTTTTAATAGCATTCAAAAATTTATGTCTGGTTTACGTTACACTACTCTTCCGCAAAACACTATGCTAATTCAGATGGGAAAACTGCACCTCTGCATCACTAGTCACTGTGCCAGCATAGCATTTGGTGGCGATACACTTGTGCAGTTATGCCAACAGACAAGAGCTTTTATTGGCTTAGCTGGCATCAAAAGAGGCAATGATATAAATACAAAGGCAGAAAAAACTCCAAAAAACTGCCAATAGAGATAGATATAAGGGACCTGCCAATATAGCTATGCCAATTGAGACTGTTTCACAGGATAAAGCCAGAGAAATGTCAATGTCCGAGTTAGAATAGTTGGAAAAAACTAACTGTCCTTTGCTGAGAATTACTGCCATTCTCTCTGTCCCCCAGGTGGGACATACTAACCACACTAACTCTCCTGCAGTTCGTGGCAATGAAAACAAAACATCTAATTACAGGGAGATGCAGATAACTTTAAAATGTTTCATCTGCATTATAATAGACTGTATTAACATTCACCTTAGATCAAAGGTCATAACTTTGATCTAAGAAGTGAAAACATCGCAAGCAGCTCTAACTTAAATGCTAGCAATTGTCTGCCAATAATCATTGTGTCATCCTAGACTCTTCTGGGAGGTTCTCTTATATCCACAGCATTGTACCACCCGTGTGACAGACCTGTGTTTAAAAGCGTAAGTGAGTGAGAGTTACTTCAATGTCCATATCTCAACTGTCACAGACCAGAATTACAATACTGCATGGATCATTTTTTCTCTATCGCCCAGACTATTATCCTCCTGCTGTTATATTTCTAACAGTTTGTTTCCAGGCTTTGTTTCTTAAGACGCCAAGAATACTGAAGCGGGGAGTGTACTGCAACACGTAAAATAAAACTAATACATCTCTACCATCATGTTCTTCAGGGTTCATTTGCTAGTACTTCATTTGGTAAATTTACTTTAAAATTCTATTAAAATAAAATTCAATATATTTTCATTCACTACTCTTCATTGATTTTTGGAACAAACATAACAACCGTCAGAATCCTTCTTTAAAAAAATGTAGGTCACTATCCAACAGTACTTACTCTACTTTTTACTCAGAGAAAACCTTCTTTGCTGTCAATAGATATGTTCTCTATGTGATGACTCTGTTTTTTTTTCCCCCAGAGTGTCACAGTAAAGAGTGTATGAATCGAGCACAGTTCATTAAAAATAAATCACATTGCACTCTTTGCAATAACCAACCATAGCAACTTTAGTATTTTGATCTGTCATGCATACGCCGGGGTTTAAGTCCTAATTAACTGTGCCCTTCTGATGTATGCTACTCTAAGTTCTATTAACATCATGTGATGATGAATTGGCTGATCTGTAAAAGTTTAGCTATTCTAGAACTTTCTCAAAATATTTCCTTTTTAAAGTAATTAATCCAAAGGGCTCCCAGCACTGTTACTTATGATCTTTTTAAAATCATTTTTAAAAATTTGACCACAGTTCATGGTATCCACAGGTGTTTTAAATTTCACCTCTGGCATGTAAATTACTTCAAGATCCAGTTTCACCCGTACAATCATTCTCAGGCTAACATACTTACTCAGCTTAAAAAGATTTTCAAGTCAAAATTTATTTCCCTTCTTCTTCTTACCCTACAACACTTTAGACAGGGCATGCTTCTTTTTGCATCATTTAGGCAAAAAACACGATAAATCCTTTTGAAGACAACTGACTTAAATTCACTCTTCCTGTTTTTCCTTAATGAGCATCAGCCATCCAGTCTTCAACTGACAATAAAGTAGGGTTTTTTTTTTTTTTCTGGCAATACATATATTCTGGAATCAGATACTCAAGTTAATAGTCATATAATACAGCAGCACGCTTAAAGTGACTTAAGCTTAAAGGCTTAGCACATCAGATGAAAAGGCTGAAAGTGCTCTCTTTGGTGTATACAGCAGAAGTGAAATTTAATCCCCTTTGAACAGTTCTGACAACAAATCTTGCTTCCTAATGCCATACTTAAAAAAGGTCTTGACAACTTTCTCTCTTTTTCCTGTATCCTCTGGAAAACTGTGAGGAGAACTAAGCTTAACAGTACTCAAGATACACTTCAAGTTTATACAAGCCAAGAGCTGCTTCTGAAATAGAAAAATGGAAAAGGATTTATGTTTTGTCAATACTTCTGATTTATTTATATCCTGATCTGAAACCTATAAATTGTCTCATACCTAATAACTACTTGCCCCTCTCATAATTACTTAGCTATTTTTTAAAATGCTTGGTTATTTCGTGCTCATTTGATTGGCAACTTTAGAACTTCAGAAAAAATAAAATTACTACCTGTGACCTAAGAAATGAGTTAAGTTTTATTTCTTTTTTCATTTTCAACCTTATCCCAAGCTCATAACAACACGGAGAAGTGACAGAGTTTGAGCCTGATCTTCAAGTATGTTGGTAAAATAATCAAATCCTGGTCATACTAAATAGTTACAATCAGTTTGTCTGAGTGTTCCTTTGAGCACTGGATTTTAAAAAGCATCTTTAGAAACTTGGGTTTGAAAATTGAACTTCTTTAGGTAAGATTTTTGCTACAAATATATAAAAATCTCCCCACATGCACATTAACTAAAGCATCAAAAACTAACTGAATTCATGCATTTGCAGAACATAGTCCTTAGACTGTAAAAACAGAAGCTATTCTAGAAGATTGCAGAAACAAACTATGTGGAATAAATTTCAGGAATAAGGACTCAAAGGAGTAACTCAGTCTTCAACATGTGTATAATTCCTGTTGAAATCAACACAATCTGAATAAAAAGATGTCATTTTTAATTCACAATTAAAGTAAATCTTTCAATCATCATCAAACATGCATAGCTACATTATTTTAGGGTGCACTAATTCAACTGGAGTAGTCAGGATAGAATTACATCATGGTTCTTTTTCCTGTCATTCAGAAGCCTTATGACAGGCTCTAATAACTCAGCTGTTAACTTCTGGACACACGCTACCAAGCTTTTCAGACACCACTAAAGGCTAAACATTTGTTTAATATGGAAAGCTACAATTTTCATAAAGTTATCTTACCTAAGACCTGAGGCTTTAATGCAACTTTAAATACCACAAAACATGATGGAACAGGAAGAACTGTCTGTACTCTATTTAGTAACATCATGAGCTTCTTATGTATAAAGGGTAATCAAATACGTTACATATTTCTTATCTTGTATTGGTGATACCATAAGGAATAATACAGACTGGCACATAATATTTGCAATATGCTGTTAAATACACCAATATGATAAATATACATTAAAAGCCATATGCAATAGCAGTTTTTAAGCATCATTTGAAAATAATCCTTTATTTTCTAGAGCAACGGACCACGAAAAATTCCTAACTATGGCCATACTAGACGTTAGTTTACAGGCTTTGGAAACCTTACTTAACTGGAAAAATGTATCTTACTTAGTTCTCAGTGTAACATTGTATATAATTTTGAGTGATCTACTTCATATTTTAAATTAGTTTTCAAGTAAGTTCAAACACAGGTCCTCAAAATAAAGAAATGCAAATGCTATAAGCATTTATGTAGGAATATAACTTTCACACCAAAAATACTACATGTAACATAACTTAAACTTATAAAAGCAAATGAACTTGTCAAATCGGTATGTTTAATAATTTATATATATTATCTTTGAAAAAAATCTCAATTACATCTTGCACAACACTATCAAAATGCATATGCAAAAACTGACACTGAATCTATGACAACATATAGAATTGTTGAATCATAACATTATTTGTGTGCAAATATGTCAACACTCATAAATCAATGTTTCTGCAACAGAAAATCTTTATTGCATTTTATATAAGCAATAAACCATAGAGAATCAATCTTTTTTCAAATCTAGTATCCCTAACTTTTTTCTTTAATAGATTTTGATTGATCAACCAACTATGCGGTCTACTAACAATATATCTGCTTTTTATATGGATATTCATAGGTCCTGGGCCCTCAAGTCCCATCTTAGTCTAAAGAGCTTCATGAATAATTTTTTTGCTATTTGATCAAATTTTCTGATCTAGAGAATGGAATCCAAAAATAAATCTATTCAAATCAAAGTTTTTGAAAACAAATGATGTCTAGAAAAAAAGTATTTAAGGAGGCTCTAAATTGGGATGGCTTAGTGTGCAACGGAATAAATGTGTCACACTCAATAGCAAAGACGGTTACAAATTTTGAGAATGGTTCATATTTTATAGTTGAACTCCACAATCTCACACTATTTGGCAAGGATATTCTTTTCCAGAGATTGTTGATGCCACTGCTTTATAAGCAATCAAATCCCGAGCATTACCCAGCAAAGTAAGAGCACAGAACAGAAACATGAAAATGTACCTTTGTCAGTTATAATTCTGGTAGAGGAAGCCCGGAAAGCTTCAGGTAAGAGTAGAGAGGTAAATCATATAAAAAAAAGTTTCCCACAGTTTAAGCTTAATTGTTTCCATGAACTTCTTTTTAACAATGAGTAAAGAATTTAAAGCAATTAGAAACTGAAAATCCAAGAGTATAAGTGTTTCTCAATTATATTTTTGTTATATAATACAGTATTTCTATATTCCATTTGGCTTCCCTATTTTAAATATACTTGTTTGAAAAGGCAGAAGGTAGTATCTGGAGAACAACACTGTATTCCAACTGCTAAGTACAATCTATTTGGTCGGTATGGTAACATACATTGCCACACTACCTGCTGGCATCTCCCTCTATTTGTTTTCTTGGATTTATATTCAACATAGTGCAAATTCACTCCACCTAGAAATTACGGGATTCCCTGCATACTGATATAATTAAATGATGACACTGCTAGAGTTTATAGAATATGGTATTGTTCTTTTTGTCTGACAAGTAAGAAGCAAGCTATGAAGGAGAAACATATATAATAGCATCGTAAGGCTGCAGCCTAATGCGAGAATATATCTTTTATCTCTTTATGGCCATCTTCCCACAGAAAAGATGACAGGTTTGATTTGCACTAGGGTATGGCACTTTGCAGAGAACTTCCTTTGTCTTGGACCATGATCATGTTATATGGAAACTAAGGGAATCTTCGAGTTATGCCCTTGGTATGATTAATGATGCAAATTTCACAGTATCAGAGTTGACTATAAAACTATAATAAATAAAACTATAATGACCATGCAGAACTTCATAAAGCTGCATAAAATAGGTGTTCAAAGTGTTTCAGATATTCTTAGTTATTTAGATATTCTTCGTTATGCCAGAAACCTCTTCAGTTGAACTTCTGGTTATCTGTTCTACTCCTAATTTTTTCATAGTGGGTATAGATTTGTTTACAGCCTGCAATGAAGCTTTGCATTGCAGTCACTTAAGATGATTCAGTATTGATCAGTGACTGTAATTTGTAGGCTAAAAAAGGTTACAGAAGATCAAATGGTTCTACCTAAAATAAAAGCATTTTGATCTAAGTGCATCCTACTGGCTTTATTTATTCACATACTATCTCATATTGTTGAAGTTGCTTAAACTACCGGTGCTTTCGTTTTACCATTTTATAGATTAAGACATAAATAAATGTATCTACTTCACAGTGAAGGGTATTAAGAGCTCTTTAAGAAATGGTATCTTTTGCATATGTTAAGTATACTGATATTCTTTAAAATAATACACTCTTAATTTTCTTGGTTGAGCCAGATGAAGAGCGACATAGGGCTGGATTTATGTCAGGCTGCTGGAAAAACAACTCTTCACTGTTAAAAATCAGCCATTTACTTCTACTTTTTGTTTCTTATCTTTTAAAAACCTATTTATCCATGCGAATACATTTCCTCTTAAACCATACTATCTTGTTTTTCCTAAGAGCTTTTTGGTAGGGTCTCATTTGAGAACCTTTCCAATAATATGAACCTGATATCCCTGTTTACAAGTCTGGTAACTCAAATTTGAGAGGTCCGTTCAATCTCTGAAAAATAAAACATCTTTTTTCCTATATCTCATAGGGCAACTGACCATGCTGAAGCACGTAATCTGGTCTGTGAAACCTCAGGTCTACCTTTCTGCAAGACATGTGGAGATCACTAGTGAAATCCTAGGTTTTCTAGTCTTCACAAACGTGAAGCACTGAATAGGAAAACTCACACTTAAAGCCAAAGAGGAAAAGTAAACACCTGTCTAATACTTTTAAGGATTTGCCCATTAACCTACCAGACTTTCCCATTCAACATCAAAATACCGGGCCAGAAGTGAAGAAAAAGCACCTTGTAAGTGAAATTGCACTAGACAGAATTACTTTAAATACTCAAGAGATTCACTGGGATGAACCGCAAATGACTGAAATCTGCCAACTGGCAGATAACTAAGTAACAACAACAAAGGAAGTTTATTGCAACACAGTAGTACTTCTTCATTTACGTTGCTAAGAGTGTTTTGGTTTTACGGCAATGTTCATAATGTTCTAGGAAATATTATATATATATTTTCTGTAAAAAATAAAAGCTTCAGAAGTATATGGCTTCCCTATAGCACTTCACTCTTAAATTTTTACCAATTGCTCATTTTTGGGAAATGTTCATAGGAGAATAAAATTACAAATTAATGAGGATTAATAAGGATGCACTATAATAAGCAAAAAGCAACTCAAATTCTACAACTAACTTTAATTCCCACTATTTACTTGTAGGTGTTAAGCATTTGATATGTCTCAGATGTTTCTCTCCATATCCTCCCACTCCCTCTGCCACATTATGTCTCTTGAAAACTGGAAAAAAAAGAGGCAATGTGAGAAAACTATATATAAATGTTTAATCATTACTGATGAATCTGCTGTTCAGCTTTTTGAAACATACTGATGAGAAAATGATGATCGTTTTATTCTAACAAATTTTAAGTCAACCCATCATATGAATTGCTCATTCATCTCTTTTGACAGTGAAGTGATGAGTTCTACATTGAAAGTGAAATATCTCTCTTAAGCTTCTTCAAATCAATTGGAAGGCTGCAAATTCAGCCTTCACTGTTTTGACATGCACTGCTCTGAGCAGCATAATCTCTTTAGCTATTATCATATGGTTATATAAGATTCCTTATCACAAGATCAGTCTTTAATCCCTTCCATTAAGGCTAATTCTGAATGCTTCAACACACTGCATGCTTCAGCACATCAATAGTATACCACCAGTATATCAAAGCAGAATACAGCATAATGCATTACAGAACCATGCAAGGCTTGTTACTGTAGACCTTCCTTGATAAACAAAGTAAGATTTTAAAAAAAAATCCCGCTGGGCAACTGCAATTAAGAAGCTTTGTATGAGATCAGATACAAGCTGATACATTCACCTGTAATAAAGAGAACATGGATAGACTCTTCCTAGCCTGTGAGCTTCATACTGTCTTTCGTTCCAGATACCATCCACCACACAGAATCCCCGCCATTCAGGGAAATAAGTCAGAAATGCTACAACTATCACATAAAAAGTAGAATAGGGTACCCTTTAGATGATTCTATCCTGCAATCTCCAAACAAAGCTTTCTGACAACCAGATGCAGTGCAGCTTTTTCTCATTCTAAAGTATTGTTTGACAGTCCAGATTGACGCTTTCCTTTCAGCGTTTCAGCTGTTGAAAATTCCCATAATATTAGCAAGCTTCACACATGCTACCTGGAATGGTTAGGCATTTCTCCCTTACAAAAAGGCCCTTTTCCCCTTTAATATTCTTATCTACTGGATCAGTTCCTCATTGAAACATCTAGTCAGCCATGAACGGAGAGCAACAGTTCTTCTCAACCTCAACAGCTTAAGCCATGAAGCATAGTGTCTTACTGCCTTTCTTTTTAGTATGTATAACGCAACTGTTAACACCAGTCATAAAATTAATCAACCTTTTTTAAGATTTGCTTTATTGTATTCCTAATCCACATTAACTTTCCAGAAGCAACAAACAAGTGATACAAGCACATACAGGATATTACAATGGTTGCCCTTAAAATGCACTTCTAATTTGCTTTTACTATTTCCATCACTGTACTTAGTAAAGGAAATAGTGTGCCTACTTAACCTGCCTTCACCCCTCCAAAATCATTGCTTCAAATCGATTATTTTAAATAGGCAAAATAATGAAAGATACAATTTCTTCTGCATTTTCACTGGTGAAAGATAGGCTACTACAAGATAAGAATCAAGGCAGCATTACTGTTTATATGCACATCTCTTCTGGAAGGTTACCTGGAAGGTGTTCCTTCCTTCATCATAACACTGTGCAATATCTTTGCTGGAAGATTAAATTCTCACTTTTTTCCCCAAATCAATATGAAGTTTGTTCGAGCTATAATCTGTATGACTTTGCTAAGGGTCTGATCTCTGAAGAGATACTCTGAATGCATTCTTCTTTATATCTAGCCCTACTCAAGGCATTTTGTTCTACCTCTTTTGTTATCATGATGTAACCTTTTCCTGGTGAATCTTGGACGAAAAGGTGCCTGAAGGCTCAAACAACAATGCATTATTTATCCTCTAGCAAACAGATACAAATTAAAGAACATAAAAAGAGACATCGTTATTTAGAATTATAGAATGTATTCTGCCAGAGGCAGAAAGAAGACAAAGAACATAGCTTTAATACTGCCAGTGGTGCCTTAATGTTTCAAGCACATTCTTACTAGTCCAACAAGGCCTAACAAACTAGTGCAGCACTAACATCTCCCTAGTGATGATGCACAAAGACAGTGGGATTTCTTTTAGTCAGGAACAAGAATTAGAGCTTAATGCTTTGTAAGGAGACTTCTTACTCCAGATACTGGCTCGTATTTGCTGAATGCTCGCAAACGAGATCATTTCTGAAACTAAATGTTAGAAGTAACAACAGTAAGGTTGTTAAAGATAAAAGAGTAAATGCCTTTCTTTTTAATGGCTCTTCTGTGGTACTTCTCAGCCTTTTTTTTTAGCTCAACTCCCATCTAACAGATTTTTGGAGCATAACTTAAAGGTTTTTCATAGTCACTTCTAAAAAGCGGCTAAACAAAACGTACCCATAATCACCCAAACCTCTTAGTTATACACAATTACAGGGAACATATTTGGAGTACTTGAAGGACATTTCATAATTAGGAGAAAAAAATACTTTAACAAGTATTACCTGTAGCTGGCAGTCGAAGGGGAATACACATATCTTTTCTGATGCTGTCCTCAGGTAAATAAACAAGTTTTTTGACAAGCACTGCAGAAATTGGCTGCACTAACAGCGTTGTGAGGTTTGATCGATTTTGTCTGTAGCTTCCATCTTAAATAACAGAAAATGAAGAGCAGTTTAGTAAATGAAACTTCGGAAGAAGATGCATCTTCTGCGTAAGGCTTAAACCAACCAAAAAAGCACATGTCTACCACACAGCTTACAAAATCTGGTTTAGATTAGCAGCCATTCTTTCGCACTTATATCAGTGGGGAAAAAAAAATCACTTTAACAACCGCTACCACAAAAACACATGTATATATTACAGTATTCAGGAGAACAGTTCCACAAGACGAAACTGCTGAAGAGTTCAGGCAGATATTATATTGTGTATGACTTAAAAACAAAAATTGGAGACAGTATATGGTTAACGGAATCAATGAAAAACAAAATTACTGATCAGCAATAAATTTCAAACTCAAGTATGACCTGAACACAGCATTATAGGGAAAAGTGGACATTTAAAACAGACTGAAATCCAGTGCAAGTGTCTGTCTGTGCTGAACGATGCCAGTATTGATAAGACTGCTTGTTCTGCTAGAATGCAAAAATGTTTTAGCAGAATAAAAACTGTGCTACTTAGCGCTAACATTATTTGGGCAGGCTGTCATACAAACTGAAGCTTTTATGAGAACTCTGAAGAGAAACACACCAAGGAGGGTGTGCACTGGTGACACACCTACAACTTGATGAGACATACCTTTCCCTGCATATACCCAGGAGCCTGAAAACATGAACATACACCTTCCTCTTTACGGCATATATTCAAAGTGGATCTCAATTCAGGTAAGTTGTCTATGATTTATATTATAAATGCAGGGATGTTTTTTTGTGATGGATGGTTGAAGGCTCAGCTGAAGAAGTTCTGGAATAAGAGCTTACTGAACAGACAGTTAGTTGTATGTACAGTCGAGGAAGGTACAGATCAGAAACGGTCAGAATTCTTCAATGACATGTTTAAAACCTTAAGAAGGCACAGCACAAACCTCAATTTATCAAAAGATTCATTCATATTTCAAAATCTCCCTCTAACTGAAAAAAAGGAAACAGACTTTTCATACACATGACTTTCCAAGATTTAAGTATGGGAAGGGTTCTGATGAGATACGTTTTGTGAGAACAACTGACAGACCTGGAAGAAGATAAACCCTGGGCACAGAAATGCTCTGAAGCGCTTCATGACAAAATGCTTGTCTGTTTTTCCCAGCTCTTTCAGCTGGCCTAATAAAGGCACCACTTCCTCTCAGGGAAATCAAGAATACTCTTGTAAGGCTGAAAACCCATTATGAAAAAGAGAGAAGGTTCACAGCATGAGGCAGAAAGCAGCCCTAAAACAATCTGCAAAACCCCTAAAATTCAGTATGCCTGCCCACATTGAATTATTTGCAAACTTAGAGCTAGAATTCAGAATGCAAGGACACTCTGAGAACTCTATTAGAAAAAATACTATGTTTTCTGTTGACATCGAGTTCCTTACAACCAGAAGGCATCCTTTTCATTTCGTGACCTACAATCACAAGGTAAAGAAGCTATGAGAAATCAGTAGCACACATATTCTAATACATTTCTATAAAACTGCTAGC